GCGTCAAAGCACTTGCATCAATCACTGCTGTCTCCACAACCTCACATCAGAAGGATCCGGGCCTCCCATCTCCACGGCCCACCACGAGGCTGCGTCACAGGGACATGTTCTCCCAAACCCCCTCACGGAGGCCGACTGCAGTCACTTGCTTTGAAATGTAAAGACATGAACAACAAAGGAGTTTAGTTATTTTAGTCTGAATTTCAAACGCTGGCAAAACTTTCAGCTGTTCAGAGATTAAGGATTTCTAACTACGCAGCCGCCACAGCAGAGAAGCTCCACTGTGATTGGTCCGTGTTTGAGTTTTGGACGGAAGCATGGAGCGGCTGCAGGGAGCATGGACGAGGCACTTCGGACTAGATAGGTTTGTCCTTCGAAGGAACTGAAGGAAAAGTAGTTGGGTTCATGGCTCAGAGCCTGATATACACGGAGACTGCGGACTGTTCAGTTCTGTTGCATATTCAACTTATAAACTGTACAGTCGTTTCTTTTGCACTTTTCCTGTCTTTGTTTGAATCTGCACTCGTAGCTTATCACGTCTGTTGCATTTCTCCTGCACTTGTAAATAGTTCATCATTGTCTCAGATATTTACCACTTATTGTTTTGCTGCTTGTGCTGAATACACTTGATTGATAACTACATTTCTAACAAGAACTGTGTCTTTATTCACAGCATCACAGTTGAAGTGACTTATATATAATGAGTCCATAGAACTATCACATAAACCTGCACTTGATACACATTTAATGAGCTCAAACAGTTTGGTTTGCTAATGTTTTTGTTCTGAAGAGGAAAAAGTAGCAGGAGCAGAAAGAGGTTTCCCTGGCAACTCCTGTGAGATCGCCATCACGTGGTTGGGTGTGGGATTACAACATTCTCTTCAAAACTACGTAAGGGGAACGCGCTAGTGGACGAGCCACTGTGGCTAGGTAGATCCAGCGCAACCGCAACCATAACCAGCGCCGTGCAAGTATACACTAGGCTTAAAGCTTGGGCACCGAACTTACAAACCATCTATGCAACTATAAAAACTAGTTTTCAGGCAATACTTTTGTTGTACATGGCAGACCTCTTGATGTTGTGGTACAATGACATTAAACTATTGTGGTCTTTTAGACAGAAGGGGCGGAGTTACATGTTTGTGCCAGAATTTCCTGGTACTAGCGTGGATGGAATTTGAATGTTGTGATATGATTAAAAGGGCTAAAAAGACGACTGTGCATAATATTAAAGAAGTGTGAAAAGATTCTTGTATACACACTTTGCAAAGATAAATGTTTTTATGACTTCAATTTGTCTCACATTTTTTAAGAAGAAGTTCCAGATTTTAGCAGACTCCACATCATTCCATATTTATTAGAAGGTTTGACAAGTACTACTGCGTTTGGGCTATGACTATTTGTATTTTAACTACTTGGTTCTGAGGCTCACTCATGGGCACCACTGATAAAATGTATAATTTCCTGTATTTTTTGGGGTCATTTTTGTCCTTGGAGCGACAGTCTCGCTCAAATATGCGTTATCATGTGGCTGTATTCATCGGTTTCAGCTTTGTGAACATTTCAAGGACTTTTCTACATTAAAATAAAACAGTGAAATTCTCGTTCACTCTGCAAAGATATTGAAAGATTTTTAGGTCATGGGGTTTGCAGTTTGGTCTGGGCTTTAAAACTCTTCTTGCTTTGAATTCAGATATGGAATAAATATGAACTCAATTCCATTAAATTGATTTTTGTGTATAGCCCTAAACCAGTCGTCTTGGAGGACTTTACACAGACTTTACAAAGATCAGAGATTGAAACGGTTCAACAGTTTGAACACAGGAAGTACAATATTAACAAACACATAGGAGCCATCGATCCATAGGGGGCAGGATGACCACAGTCCATAAATGTTAATAAATGTAAATAAATATCCTCAATGTCTGGGATCATCACTGTTCATAGACGCTACTTCATCAGCGAAAAACCATTCAGGAACTGGCTGATAGTTTATATTGTAGAATTCCATTTCAGTATTTCAGCAGGTGGAAAGACGCAATTAAATAAATGTTCAAATAGAAAAAGTCCAAATGTTATCCTAAATCATTATTTGATGGTATATTTGTATTTTTTTCCCTCATATATCCCCATATCTTCTCTACTGGCCAACATCATGCATAGGTTTTTGAATACTGTCATCACTTAGACCCCTGTATTATACCTGTATGGAAATAATGAGACCATAGTTGATAGAGAGACCAGAGGGAGACCAGAGATAGAAAGCAGAGAGAGAGACCACAGATAGAGATCACAGAGAGACCAGAGAGAGAGAGAGACCACAGAATCAGAATCAATTTATTTGCCATTTGCAGGAAAAAACTGCATTGGAATACAAACAGGAGACACCGAGGGCCAACACAACAAAGCACACACACAAACAGAATAAAAATAGCGAGACACAGTGAGGCACATATAAATATTATTAAGCATTATTAAGACGCTACAAAAGGAGGAGCTACAAGAGAAGCAGATCTCAGGGCGCTCTGTTCAGCCTTATAACCGCCTGAGGACAGAAGCTATTCGCATGATAGAGATCACAGAGAGACCAGAGAGAGAGACCACAGATAGAGATCACAGAGAGATCAGAGAGAGAGATCACAGAGAGACCAGAGAGAGAGAGAGACCACAGATAGATATCACAGAGAGACCAGAGAGAGAGAGACCACAGATAGAGATCACAGAGAGACCAGAGAGAGAGAGACCACAGATAGAGATCACAGAGAGACCAGGGAGAGAGAGACCACAGATAGATATCACAGAGAGACCAGAGAGAGAGAGACCACAGATAGAGATCACAGAGAGACCAGAGAGAGAGAGACCACAGATAGAGATCACAGAGAGATCAGAGAGAGAGAGACCACAGATAGATATCACAGAGAGACCAGAGAGAGAGAGACCACAGATAGAGATCACAGAGAGACCAGAGAGAGAGAGACCACAGATAGAGATCACAGAGAGACCAGGGAGAGAGAGACCACAGATAGATATCACAGAGAGACCAGAGAGAGAGAGACCACAGATAGAGATCACAGAGAGACCAGAGAGAGAGACCACAGATAGAGATCACAGAGAGAGAGACCACAGATAGAGATCACAGAGAGACCAGAGAAAGAGAGACCACAGATAGAGATCACAGAGAGACCAGAGAGAGAGAGACCACAGATAGAGATCACAGAGAGACCAGAGAGAGAGAGAGACCACAGATAGAGATCACAGAGAGACCAGAGAGAGAGACCACAGATAGAGATCACAGAGAGACCAGAGAGAGAGAGAGAGACCACAGATAGAGATCACAGAGAGACCAGAGAGAGAGACCACAGATAGAGATCACAGAGAGACCAGAGAGAGACACCACAGATAGAGATCACAGAGAGACCAGAGAGAGAGAGACCACAGATAGAGATCACAGAGAGACCAGGGAGAGAGAGACCACAGATAGATATCACAGAGAGACCAGAGAGAGAGAGACCACAGATAGAGATCACAGAGAGACCAGAGAGAGAGAGACCACAGATAGAGATCAGAGAGACCAGAGAGAGAGAGACCACAGATGGAGATCACAGAGAGACCAGAGAGAGAGAGACCACAGATAGATATCACAGAGAGACCAGAGAGAGAGACCACAGATAGAGATCACAGAGAGACCAGAGAAAGAGAGACCACAGATAGAGATCACAGAGAGACCAGAGAGAGAGACCACAGATAGAGATCGCAGAGAGACCAGAGAGAGAGAGACCACAGATAGAGATCACAGAGAGACCAGAGAGAGAGAGAGACCACAGATAGAGATCACAGAGAGACCAGAGAGAGAGAGAGAGACCACAGATAGAGATCACAGAGAGACCAGAGAGAGAGACCACAGATAGAGATCACAGAGAGACCAGAGAGAGAGACCACAGATAGAGATCACAGAGAGACCAGAGAGAGAGAGAGAGACCACAGATAGAGATCACAGAGAGACCAGAGAGAGAGAGAGAGACCACAGATAGAGATCACAGAGAGACCAGAGAGAGAGACCACAGATAGAGATCACAGAGAGACCAGAGAGAGAGACCACAGATAGAGATCACAGAGAGACCAGAGAGAGAGAGAGAGACCACAGATAGATATCACAGAGAGACCAGAGAGAGAGACCACAGATAGAGATCGCAGAGAGACCAGAGAGAGAGAGACCACAGATAGAGATCACAGAGAGACCAGAGAGAGAGAGAGACCACAGATAGAGATCACAGAGAGACCAGAGAGAGAGAGAGAGACCACAGATAGAGATCACAGAGAGACCAGAGAGAGAGACCACAGATAGAGATCACAGAGAGACCAGAGAGAGAGACCACAGATAGAGATCACAGAGAGACCAGAGAGAGAGAGAGAGACCACAGATAGAGATCACAGAGAGACCAGAGAGAGAGAGAGAGACCACAGATAGAGATCACAGAGAGACCAGAGAGAGAGACCACAGATAGAGATCACAGAGAGACCAGAGAGAGAGACCACAGATAGAGATCACAGAGAGACCAGAGAGAGAGAGAGAGACCACAGATAGATATCACAGAGAGACCAGAGAGAGAGACCACAGATAGAGATCACAGAGAGCTGCACCAGAGAGACACTTAGATCAGAAAATGGTGAGAGCATATTTGATACGTGCTGACAAAGGACTCTGTATTTGGACTTTACATTTGGAGAAAAGATTCCTCAGCTGCCTTCCACCACAATGTGAAACTATTGACTCTCTTGAATGTTGTGATGTCACATGAAAACAACCTCAACAATCCTCAACTTTATTGTTCCCGAAAGGAAATTAATCTCAGGCTCATTGTATTGTTGGACGCAAACATACAAGACACTCACAACATCAGGACAATCAACTCGTCTGCACAATTTCAACACAAGAATATGTCATAATATCGCACAGTTAGCGCCACCTATTGACACGTCCTTCTGTTCCTGTCTTTCAGAACGATCAAAGTGGAAGTGTACGACTGGGATCGAGATGGCAGGTCAGTCTCTCTGAGAAACATACTCTTCACATTGTTACAGCCGGATCCTGTGATGCAACACTGACATTTCCTCACTTATCTCCTAATCTCTTAATACAATACAATAGGGCTGCACAATTTATCAAAAAAATATTGTTATCGCGTTATTGATGCGTGCAATATGCTTATCAAAAATATCCGCGATTTAAAAAAAATGTGAGTAAAGAAAAATACAGACACATCCACATTCAACAAGAACAACAAACACACATACAAGTATATAAATATGTGCATGTAAATATCATTAATGTTGTGCTTTTTTTTTTTTCGTGTTATTTGTCTTTTGTTTCAATGCAGATGCAATTTTAGTTGAGAAACAAAAATATCGCAATAATATCATTATCGCAATACTAAACACTCATATTGAATATCGCACTAATTTCCAATATTGTGCAGCCCTACAATACATTACTATGTATTCTTATATAGCCCCAAATTACAACAGCAGTCATCTCAGAGGACTTAACAAAACCGTTGAAATCACCAACACAGATCAGAGAATCAACAGTTAAGACACAAACAATATAGAACACATATGTATCGGTCCATATGGAGAGACCAATACATGAATGTATTGGTCTCTCAACATGTATGATAAATGTCCATACATTCCACGTTGTAGAATGATAAGTGCAGTATGTCTTTTATGTTATAGAATATGTTAATCTCAGATAGTTATCAGGTGGTTCTAAAGGTTTTTCTCAGTTCCTCGTGTTCCTCTTGTGCTTCAGCCATGACTTCATTGGGGACTTCACCACCAGCTACAGAGAACTGTCCCGAGGCCAAAGCCAGTTCAACGTCTACGAGGTCAGTGCACGTGGTCATGAGTAAAGAAGCAGTCTGTCACCTTCTCTAGAAGCTTTTCTGTAAAGTAATAATCGTGGGTGTCATTTTTAGTTCTCTGTTAAATACCCTGAGCTCTTTCCTTCAGTTCCACTGTGTGTTTGTGTCCACGGTTCTTGTCACCGTCTCCAGATCCTGTGTTTTTACCTGAGTCTTACCTACCTAACCCCACGCTGAAGTAAAGACGACTGTCATAAGCCTTGCCTTTCTCGGCGTGGATTTAGAGCTGAGTCCACAGTATAGTGGCTCGGTAGCTAAACGCTCTGCCTCCAACTGTGCTTTTCACACTTAAAGAACCACCTGAAGTCTGGCAATTTTCAAATGTAACTCCTTTCAAGTGGAGTTGAACATTATACTTTTAAGGGAAAGTCCTGGAGCCACTTTATGTTAGCAATTTTTTCCCCCCAGAGATTATTGCCCATGGAGCCTGCTTGACTTAGCTCTTATCAGCTTCCTCCAGTTAAATCCAAACGTGTGACTCTCGATCTGATACTCCTTTCTACGATCCACGGTGAATGGAAGCACTTTTATTCTGTCTGGGCTGGTTCTGCTGCCTCTCTGTGGGGCCCCAGTGCAGTGCACTCCAGCGGGGCCAGTGGGCAAGCGGAGATCAGTCCTGTGGAGGCGGACTGCTGCGATGCGATGTCATAGTAGGTGGACTCTGAGTGGAAATCCAAATCTGCTCTTTGTTCTCGCAATGTGAAAATCCGGAAGCTCGAATCTGGATCAAACACGTTCTGGATCCTGCTGATTTAATTACAGCCACGTGTGCTCTTTTGTTTGTGCTTCGGTCTCTCGTGGTGTCACTTAAATTTTCCTGTCTCTGTTAAATTAGGGGCTGTCACTTCTTGCTCGCGGCTCCGGAAAATGTGCCTAACGAGCCGCAACATCTGCAGCCTGACATTTATCTGCTCTCTCTGCCTCCGGGAGAAAGTCTACTCACAACATTATGAATCTGATAGTGTTGGTTTAATATGAAGCATTCTGGACTCTTTGGCGACAGTGAGAGGACTAAGACCGAAAACAGTGCAGGGGAAATATTCAGTCTTTTGAGCTTTAAACCATCTGTTCTACTGTCAGTTGTTTTTAGCTTCTTGTTGCAAACCTCAGAACCTTTGGAATCTAGTCTATATAGAAATCCCATGTATTGTACTATTGTAGCTGTGGTGTGAATCAATATGGACACATCCAACCCGAATTTAAAGTCCAGAACAGCCTGAGTCCAATTAAAACAGTTGAGATGTGGGCCCCTGGCGCCACCTACATGTGAAAGCCAGATCCTGTAATTCCTCTGAAGCTAAGCAGGGCAGGGCTGGGTAAGTACTATGATGGGAGACCTCTAGGAACACCAGGTGCAAACAGTGGGGTGGCTGTAACTGTTGTGTCCATGGGCAAGACACAAGACACCCATATTGCCTAAAATGAGTCTGCTGTGTGTGTGCGTGTGAATGGTTGGTGGTTGGCACGTATTGGTTGCCTATCTGTCACTGTGCCCCAGGGCAGCTGTGGCTATACAGTAGTAATTTATCACCACTGTGTATGGAGTGAATGAATAATCACATCTTAAGAGTCAAAAAAGCACTGTATAAAACCAATGCATTATTATTTGTATTTCTATATTAGCAGTGGGCTGACCAAGGGCTGACGTGTTTGTCTTCATGCAGATAATTCTGGGTTCAAGGAGATAATGAGACATTAAACCGCATATTATAGAGCCTAAAAACGGTTAATGAGGAGTTTTCTGTTCGATGAAATTCCATATGAGTCGAGTTGGACCAAAACTTCATCCATGAGCACTTCCCCGTTTAGCTTCATGCCATTTTTAAAATTCTCAATATAAAAACCAAGTATGAATATTTTCTAGATCTGGTTTCCAAGGTATGGTACCTAACTTCCCATAAAACATACAACACAAAGAGTCTTGTAAAAGTAAACTATTGTGAACAAATCAAATAACAACTTTCTGTCTTCATTTGATTAGAAAATATGTTATGTTTGCCTCACTATAAGAGCCCTGTGAGTCACTATTAGAGCTATAAGAGCCCTGTGAGTCACTATTTGACACTTTGAACTGGGAGCTGATGAGAGTAGTCCTCTCAATAACCTAAAAAATGTTACAAAGGCCAAACAAACCCGCATGTGACGACTGAGAGTTGGTCAATTGTATTACATAGTTACTGTATATTGTGGTTTGAAAATAAGGTGCCCCAGATTTCATCTTTAAAAGGTCCATGTTTCTCGACCATAGAAAGATGGCTTGCTAGAGTGTTTGATTTCCATTCTCTCAGGTCTTATTCACAGTGATAGAAGGATGGAGCAGGAGATCAAGGAATGGCATGGATTTTATTGACACGGTTTGTATGGTATGATAGTTACGTGCCCCAGATTTAATTAACACAATAAAAACAGATTTCTTTGTGGTTTGGAGAGGTATCAGTCCTTGATTCAAACATCCTTAATCAGGGCCATTTTAAGAGTATTTCAGTGGAGCACGGTCACTTCCGTAAATAACATGTTTTAAAATGTGTTTGTAAACCTCCATTAGAACAGCAGGCGTCCACAGCTGTAGCTCCAGTACAAGCGCACTGTCAACATGGTAGCTTTTCAAACTCCATTTCGAGGCAAGGCAATTTTATTTGTATAGCACAGTTCATACACAAGGCAACTCAAAGACAAAACAAAAAACAATCGCACAAGGAAAATCATGAATAAATCACTGTACATCAATAGGATTGCAGATCAGTTGTATGCACAGCTAAACAGAAAGGTTTCAAATATGGATTTGGACAGTAGTAGAGGCCTGTTCCGCATTTTCAGGAAGATTGTTTCAGATTTTATCTGAATTTATCTGAAACGCTGCCTCCAAATGTTTAGTTGTGACTCTGGGCACCAGCAGGAGGCCAGTCCTTTTGCTCCTCAAAGTCCCTGTGCTCCTCAGAGTCCGACTTTCTGAAGCCACTGATATTAGCCAATGATATTACACTAAAAGCAACTGTGAGTCCCCTTGAGCAGCGTTATATAAAACTGTTATTATTTGTATTATTATTCATTATGTCGTAAATACATTGTTGAGTTTTAAATAGATGATTATTTGAGTGATTCTGTAAAAACCCTGTATATTTAAGTTGTAATATTCATGCCTTTATAATGAGCAGTAATTATAACAGATGTTTTCATTGGAAGGATTCCGTTTCCATGGCAACACAAACTTGACATTCCATGATGCTTCCGGAACCCAGAAAGTGCTTTGTGACATCATCGTCCTGATCAGGCCTATAGTCTGTGTGTGTGTGAGTAAGATCCGTATTAAGCTACAGGTTTTAGAAAGACGAGACAAGGATTCTAAAGCACATTAGCAACTTCAACTCAACTTAACAAACTCAGTATTGTTAAAATGGCTGCGACAAACAAGAACAAAACGTATTGGAGGAAGAAGATCGACGTTGGCTACAAAAACGAGATCTGTGAGGTGTTTGAGCTAGCTGCCAAACATTATTTTGAAGCTAAGTATGTTTACGAAGAACAAGAAGGCCCCATCCATGACGCAATCTTCACAGTTATCCTGAAGGTTGATGTGTTCGAGGGACAAGGAAAAGGTCCGACCAAATACGCGGCCAAATTAGATGCAGCACAGCAGATTCTACCAGATCTGCGTCTTCTTCCCCTTCCTGAAAACCCAAATCAAAAGAGGGAGAGGAAACGTGATCGTGCCTTGTGTGAGAAGACAAAGACCACAGCAGAAAAGCCATCCGTGCAGGTCCTGAGTGAACTGGTGATGAACTTGAGAGGAAAGCCTGAAGAGTACACCTTAGTGGATGTCAACAAAGACACGGATCCATGTGTTTTCACAATGAAACTCGTGGTGGCAGAGGAGACAGTGTTCGCGCGCGGAGAGAACAAAAAAGATGCCAAACGAAATGCAGCAGCCAAAATGCTCAATGTCTTTGGATACAAATACAGCTTTTCTGAGCCAGAGCTAGTACTTGTCCAACAAGTGGCTGAAGAACTCTCCAACCAGCAAGAAGTGGAGATCCAGCGCCCTGTGGAAGAGGTCGTGGCTGCTCTGCCCATGACGGAAGTGACACAAATGAAACAGTTGTGTGAAACATCTGAACTGCCAGACAAACAAACCCTGTCTGTGACTGTTGAGGATGGAAATGACATTGGTGGAAGTGTGAAACCTGAGGAGGTTTCCCCTGATCAGGAGTTTGTGGATGTTAGCAGCTTGTCTGAGAACACAATGGAAGAAACTCAGATTTGCACCCCAGCAGAAATTCAACAGGAAATGGTTGAATTAAATGTAGTTGAGGATGTAATTCATGCAGAGGAACCATCGCTGCAAGAACCAGAGGCTGAAGTTGAGATACTGTCTTCATATGACAGTGAAATTGTCACATCCTGTGCCTCTGCTGCCTGCTCTACTCCCCCTCCCTTCCCTCTGTGTGAGGGCAGGGGTGGGGCCTGCACTGCACACCTGGAGGCAATCACATCTCTTCAAGTACCCAGCTCTACAGCCTGTTGGTGCCAGATTGTTTCGTCTCATCTACTGGTGAAAGTCCTACATTTGGCTAGTTTTCTTGAGCTATTTCTCGATCCCTGTACTTACCTGTTTTTGTTGTTTTTTGGCAGTTCCTGTGTTCCTGTTTTTGACCTCCTTGCCTCCAGACCCTCCAGCACTCCCCCTCCTTAAATAAATTGTATTTTTATTTTTCACGCTTGAGTCGCCTTTTTGGGTCCCATATTGTGCCGTAACAGAACAATCTGGCCACATGGACCCAACAGACCAAGCTGATTCTGTCCGCCAAGCTCTGGCTTCTCAAGGTATTCTGGTTGGACAACATGAACAGACTTTGCGGGAGGTCGTTCAGAATCTACATGAACTCTCAATCAACGTTGCCCAGCTGTCCAATCAAGTCCACATGCTCTCCACTCGACTCTCGGATCCCTCAGCTCCTGGCCCCAGT